CCGCAAAGGCAACGCGCCTCGGACTGGCAACCAAGGTGCCTAACTTGTCTGACACCCATTCAGCTCTTCTTCGGAACCGGTCCGGGTAACCGCATCCTTGGCAGAATTGAGAGGGAAAAGGGGACGGTGGCTGAAGAGACTTCGGCGCTTAGTTAAAGTTATCTTATGTCTCAGAGACGCACCCGAGCACGAGAGAGCAACGAGAGCACGAGACGCGGGTTATGTGCGTTCTTTTTGCTTCATGTATGTGGAGATACAGGGAGGGCGGGAAATTGCATTCGGATTTCGGCCTTGAGCGGGCTTGAGCGGGCATGGCCGCGAATTTTTTTTTTTTTTTTTTTTTTTTTTTTTTTCCCAATGCAGTTACTAGTTGCGTTGCTGGTTACTAGATGCTGATGGAATGAATATGGGATGTGTCGATGTGTGATGTGACGTGATGGGATCTGGGTTAGGCGGTTGGGGGTTGTGTCTAAATGTGCTTGGTTGGTTGATCGGATCGTATGGACTCCGTTAAGTTAGTTAACTATCATCTATCATAGGGTAGTAACGGTTGAATTGATGTTAAGTTCTGGTTGTCTGAAAGGCTTTTTCTCATAAACCAAACCTAGGGTTATCCAATAACTATTAAATTACTAATAGAGATCGCGAGTTTTCTCAACAACTCTGCTTTCCCTGACCATTAACTAACCTTCTTGTTTTCCGAGCGGGAGTTTGTGGGCATGCTCTTGACGTCATTCTCGCGGTGTTAACTAACAACCTACTAACGCACCAAGGCTCCGGCGCACTGGGTTTCTATGGGAGAGTGACGGGTCTGCGTCTTTGGCGTCTAGACTGAAAACTATCCCGAAGATAGGTGTGTACAGTTGTACAGTCTGTAAATGTATAGCTATCGTTCTCGAAGAAGAAGAAAAAGAAGAAGAAGAAGAAGAAGAAGAAGAAGAAGAAGAAGAAGAAGAAGAAGTAGAAGCGGATAAGGCTGATGTTAATGTTGAAGGTAAGTAATGGGAAGAAGGGAGTGAAAGACAGTCGGAATCGGCCCGTTGCTTGTGGTCTGTTGGCCTGCGGATACACCGGCAACGCCGGATAGTCTTCCTTGCCGATAAAGGGTATGATGATGGATATAATGCAGTTTACGCCGAGCTATTTCCTGTGGAAACTCCTCCTCATTACGGGCCACTGGGATGCGGGAATGCTGAGTATCGAGTTGAGAACCGCAGCAGACGAATGGGTAGGCCTATTAAGGGCTGAGCATTCGTCATTAACTAACACCATTAGGTCCTAATTACCTGTTTAACTCACTCAGACAAGGGATGAGGTCGGTAAAATATTCGGATTGGTCGCTCTCATCAGAATATTCGCTCACTCCCAAGTGTGCTCTCTCTCCAGCATCTCAGAGATGTTTTCCTGAGGCCGACCGCTATACTTGAATCTCAAACATCTCATTCATAATTCATCATTCAACTCATCTGATCTCATCTCTTTTTCTAATCTCTTATTCTGTCTTCTTTCTATTTCACAGCTCACAACTTCATCAAACATCTCTTCTTACTGGACGTCAAAAGAAAATACATCAGTGAATGTATATCTGCATCTGCATTCACATCACTGACATGTGCTTCTTTTCCTCTTGTGCCATTTACCTGTGTGTCTGAGAATGTGTGGGAGAAGGGTGCTGCACTGAAGTGGAGTTCCATGCAAGTGAGGTGAAGGCCTATGCAGACTGTGTTTTGTCAGTGAGATGGAGTTCAGGGTTGGATGAGATGGGATGGGAAGTGAGAAGGAGAAACTTCTTACTCCGAACCCCAAGGGCCAAACTGCATATTTGCATTCATCATTGCTCTGCTGGCGGTTTTCCCAGCGGTAGGGGTCGAAGCTGGTTGAAACCGTGTACATCATACGTACATTCAGTTTATCAGCATAGGAAACTCGAAATATAAATTATCCGTTTCACAGCTTCTTTTTGCCCCGTTCTCTTACCCCCTACCCCTAACCCCCTACCACCTGTCACCTACCAACTTATCCCCCCAAGATAACCCATACATACGTGGGCACTGTATACACAGGACGGGCAGAAACCCATCCCACCCCCACCAACTCATCATCATACATACCACTCAGGCCTCTCGAAAGCCTCCGGATCCCCATGCATCGTCCACGCCTGCGCCGACACCGTCGTCCCACCACGTATCCAACGACCCACCAACTCCGCACCGCCGGGCGGCACCACCCGCGGCAGCGAAGCCGGCGCCGCGGTATATAACCGTAGCGTCTTGGTGATGACGTCGTTGAGGTAGGTAGTTTGCGGAGGATATCGTGTGGGAACGGGACGTCGGTCTCGGGCTGGTTTTCTAGCGGCGAAGTTGAAGGTGTGACGGTGGCGGTGACGGTGATGGTGACGGTGGAGGTAGGGGAGAGGAGATGGAAAACGCGGTCTTCGACTCATGCACCAATCGCTCCTGCTCCTGCACGGCTGGATCCCGACAACCGGTCCAGACGAGGTAGGTCATTGAGGAAGCAGTTGTGTCGCTGCCGGCGATGGATGAAGGTCTGGGTTTCAGCGGCGATGCCATTGTCGCTTAGGATGTCGGTGGGCTATTTGGCGTTGAGCAGTTTGGTTATGAAGGTTATTTTCGGTGGGTTGGTTTGCGTACTGCCATCATTGCTGCTGATGTCGGCGGCAGCGACAGCGACGAGTGATTTGTAGCGCTGGAAGGATTGCTGGGCGTAGTTGACTATGCGCTGGCCGGCCTGATACGCCTTGCGGAAGAAGGGGGGGGACTAGGTACCTGGCTAGTTTGAAAGTGAGAGGGAAGGTTGTGCGGAGGGAGGAGGAAGAGGGCTCTTTTTTTCGAGGTCGAGGGTGTATTGGTTTTTCTGGAGGGTTGTTAGTGATAAAGCTGGTGGTGCAATTGCGTTTATTGACGTCCAAGAGGAGAGGAGAGGAGAGAGGTTATATAGATACCTTCCCGAGCTCAAGCATCATAAAAGACTGCCCGAAACTCAACTCTCCAACGCTAATCGTAGCTATGAAGAGCCACCACTTGAATATATCCGCAACAACCCTTTCCCCCATCTCCTCCCGCATCCTATAGATAACCATACACACGTGAGCATCAACAAGCGGTTCCACCTGTCTCAACGACGTCTCTGACATAGGCGTTGCCAGCAGCCGTCGCCGAATGCCATGAAACACAATATCACTGGTGTTTAAAAATATGCTCCAGCCCGGTTATTGTTAGATTTCAGTACCACGGCGACTTTCTGTAGTCATTGCCAGCTCTGTAGATTTACTTTGTGGCATGGATGCCGTTGAATAAGATTTCGTCTGGTGCAATACGAACGGCGGGGCCTGAATATTCCAGCAATATTTGAAATGATGGTGTGGTAAAGGGGGATGGATTTCATCTCATGGTTAGATGACATGAGATAGTTATACCATGTCTTTGATGGAAGGTGTGAATATACTGGGCTTTATTACCCTTCAGCCAGTGATAGTCGAGGACCCATTTGGTAGAATTGGAATACCAGGGTCCAGGTATGGAGGAGAGTGGACTTGAAAGGTATATATGTACAGGGACTTGAATTACCCGGAGTAAATGGATCTCGCTGAGGCTTGAAGCGTATAGAGAGCAAAGTATCGATAATGGGCGATTTCGTGCCTACCTTGGCCAAGATAAGTATACGAAAAACCGAAACAAGGAGGGTCCAGGGAATGCTCATATTTTCTCATTGATAAGCAGTTTCTTGCTTGAGAAGGGCTGAGATCAACAGGTTGGCTCAGAAATAAGGAGGGGCATCTTCTCACTGGCGGACGCAGGTTGGGCCCGAGGAGATAGCTAAGACGCTATGCGCAATCTCAGGATTGACATTGATATATATACTCTCATCATCGTCGGTGATGTAGGGATAGTAATGCCTGGATTGCACAAACAGCCCCGCTTGGCCTCGCTTGTTCCAGGTCAAAATTGAACATGCACACAAAGAAATCACTAATTGGATCTTGCGGCATTTCCAACGACTCAGTCCGTCCTGTTTTACGGTGAGTTGGTAAATCAGGCAGTTGTTATTGGAGAATGGCTTTCCGTTGCACTGCTTGCATGCCCGAATTGATACGTGGGAAGAAGGCCTGTTTCATGCGTCCTTTTCGCTTTTGATGCGACGATCGGACGATACATGATATCCATGATATAACTGATATCCATACAATATGGGCGTATATGCCGAAGGACGCTCCCTTTCTTGTCTTTGTTCCCTTGAGAATTGTGCCGGAATAAGAAGCCTTCACCGCAAAGGAGAAAAAGAACAGAAGGTAGTTAGAGTTACGGCGGTCGATGTCCGTCGTAGAAAAGAACAGTTGCAGGCTTCGGGGTAATTTGTTAACAAGGTAACCCAAATCAATAGGGGCGCGCCCATTCCGTCATGCACGGTTATTTCGTCTGATAAGGAGATCCCCTACCCTGTCTCTCCATGACTGGCATGAAGAGGAAGATTCCCAAAGGTGCGTGTGGTTTGCTGTATCCCCACCGTGCGGAAGGGGTGTGTGTGTGTCCCGTCGTCTTATATAGTCGAACTGTCACCAACACCAAAATTTAACAGCCCCGGAAACTAAGAGTTAACCCATGTTGTTCGCAGATTATCCGAGAATAATATATTAAGATTTAATGATATACCACGTTCGGCCAAATGATCGAAGAGTTGAAACTCGTAATATATTGACAAGGAAATTATCGAGCTTGAAAATAATTTTATAAAAGAGATGAGAAGAGATGGTAAGTAGAGTAGTGGACTAAATAAATATCAGTCTGAGTTTTTAGGTTTTCTTTTCCTTTTCATGTTAATCTGTTGGCTGAGCCTGGGTAGCTGAATGCCCCTGGGTTTTAAATAAAAGAAGTTGTCTTGCTCTATAGTTTATCTTTATCAAGACTACTATGAACTAAACTTGTCAGTGGGTAAGTTGTCTGGAAAGTTAACAGGCCCTGACAAGTTCTCTCTTTTGCAAAACTCAACTGACGGTATGATTATTTTCGGTGGTCGACCGAGAGCCTCGTATTTAGCGCTCCTGTTGAGATTGTGAAGAGGAGCGATTCACCAAATTACAATTCCTCTAAGCCAGGTTTATCGAATATTGGATTGAGCATCAAGAAGAAGAATAAGGGTGGACTTGCCGCGGTGTATGATTCAGGCTTCGTGTAAGCTTTTCAGTGTCTGTAGTAACTGCTTTTCAACAGACATGTGAGCACCCATGGGCGTCATTCTAAGGATGTGAGGACATAACACATGGGCCCATCAAGGGGAGCACCAGGGCCCTGTACTGCCGAGAGCTGTCTTTCCTGGGCAATTGAAAGGTTGTCGAATATGTCACCGGATGAGAGGTATCCAGCACATCCTGAATAATTTAATCCTGCATTCGCATTTCATTGGCTTCCCATCCCCCCACACAAAGACATCACTTTGAGAGAGCTTCATCCCTTCTGCTCTGGAGGCTGTAAAGTTATCTGGATAAGTGTAGAAGCTATCAAATTCCAGTTTATGCTCGACCATATAATCCGCCATTGAGCACTTCGCCAAGAGAGATAGGACAGAAGACAAGAAGACAGGCCGAGAGCGCTTGATAATGTTCTAGTCCCAGGGCTCAGAAATATCATAAAGGTCAATTTCCTCATCTTCATTGCTCGCGTAGGTGCCACGGTGTGCTGTAATCGACCGTCTTGGGGAATTGGCCGAGGACGTATGAAAGATGGCCATGTTGGCGAGTAATAGCTCTGTATCGCCCAGTAACATACAGTAGTTATATTATCTCTGTATGTCTATGTCATCTGTAGACCTGTAGACTCTGTAGACTGGTGGTAAGAGAACAATGTGAATACGAAAGCGGCTCCTCTGAACCACCGATATCGCTTAGTCAGCCAATTAGTTAACTAACCATAACTAGTTAGAGTTAACTAACAAGTTAGTTGTTAGTCAGCCAACGATTAGTTAGCAAACTAGGCGTCAACTTGACTATTAGTTCCGGGTGCTTATTTTCCCGGGTAGATATGACGAAGGGGGGTCCGCCGGCTGTGACCTCATCCCTCCTCAACTTCAACAGCTTCGACTGCATCCACACCTTCATCTCCTCTTCCATCTTTGAATATATTACCTAACATTTCCTACGGGCCACGGGCCACAGGCTGCAGCTAACCTCTGCCATCGGCATCTCCCCGTCTATCGAGGCCAAATGCTATTTCCCCCCCCCCCCCCCCCATCCCCCCG